GGGACGCCGCCGAGAGCTCGGCCGTGGCTCCTGCTTGTTGCGTGGCGCCCCGGAGCCTTTCTTCCTCGGGACGCTTGAGTCAGTGACGAGGTGACAGGCTCGGGGCTGACTCGAATTAGGGAAGAAAAAGGGAGTGAGGTTATTTTATCGCGTGACTTTTAGGCTCTTGGAACAGCGGGTGACTTTTAATTTCGCGTTTCTGACGTTTCACGCCATCACTGGCCATCCCGAGTGCGTAAGCTTTGGCAGGGCCCGCAGCGTGGCCGGCCCGCCGCGGTTCGCCGGAGTCCCCGCGCTCGGCCCCGGGAAGGCTGGGGGCTTCGTCTGTCCGCGGTCTTCATTACGCCAGGAGGTCGGACGCTGGTCCTCAGCGGAGGGCGGAGACCGCAGAACAGAAGCCGATGACAGCTTTTTACCTAGAGAGTCTTTACTTGGTCCGATACCGTGAGAGGCCCAAACAAAGAGGAGGAAACTATTACGGTGTCACGTCAGGCACAGGAGAGGCCAGCAGCTTTTGAAAACACACAGCTATTTTGGATGACTAAATAGTGAGTCAGGAGGCAGGATAACCTGGTGGTGGGGAGTGAGTTCTGGATTCTGACCGCTGCAGATCAAATCAAGCACCACCGTGACTAGCTGTGTGATCTTGGAAAAGTTACTCAGCATCTCTGAGCCCACATGTCCTGAGTCGGAAAGGAGGAGGAGGAGTAGCGCTTGCCTTAGGTTTGTTGGGAGGATTAAACCTAGTCAATGCCAGCTGTTGTCAAACCGGATATGCTTGTGTTTTGCTCACTGAATGGTTTGCACTACTTCTTGATATACATGAAAAGAGAAGTTTGGGGTTGATGCTGTTTTTCTGGAAAATGTTAATAAAATGTTCATAAGAAGTAAAAATTAAATATTCAATAAAACAAGGAAGAAACTGTAAATCCCAAAGCACTTAAGGGCAGGATATTGAGTATGACTTCTGATATTTGTTTAAAAGTTTCAAATATTAAGTATATGCCGCCATTTAATACCCTCAACTGAATATAAGAAAATTTATTCAGTTCACACTTAAATTATGCTTTTGAAATTACATTTGACCTAAAATAGATTTTGCTGTGGGCAGGTGAAACATCCATAACCATACATTTGTTTAAACCAGGTAAGCACCTATCGAACAGGTGAGTGTACCTGAATCTTGTAAACTTTCTTGATGGTTGTTACTATTTTTGGCTAATATCTAGATTTTAACTTAAAAGAGGAATTTTTGTTGATTGCATTAGGATCGTAAAACAGTAGATCTGGCTAGAACCTCAGGATCTAAGGATCTAGGATTCTTAGAGCACAGATGTAAGTAGCTTTTTCCCCTCTTTCATCTTTTTCTCCCAGTACCTAATATGGAAGGTGACCAGCAAGTGTTGAGCTGAATTCAACTGTAGTCCTATTGCCATGGCCTTCTCAGGCCACTTTCTTTTCTTGTTGCATATGAAGTAACCTCCTTAAACTGACCTCTCAGCCTTAATTTGGCCTCTCTCCCTACCTTCTTTTAATTTGTAAAATAAGGTTTATTCTATAGCAAATTCAATCATATCAAGTCTCCTACTTAAAATCCTTTAAGCTCACTCTTGGGCTCAGCCCTCCCAGTCGAAGGACTCTACAGGGTGCTGCTGCCTAGCTCTCCTCTCACCACGCCTGCCTGGAAACCTGAAGGACAGTCTTATTTACCTACCAGAGACTCTTCCAACGTGTTGTGCTTGTCTTATAATACTTAGTGTTTCCTTTCCCTTTCTGTCCTAATCTTTGAAAGTACCTTAAAAACCTATGCCAGGTCTTCATCTCTTTCTTTGCCCCCCTCACTCCCACGCATCCCACGCAGGTAAAAATGATTTCTCCCTCTGTTGTGTCCATTGGACTTTCTATATTTCTTTGGTCTAGCAACTACCACACTGCGCTTCATTGTTTAATGTCTTCCCAGCACCGATCCAAAGCTCCTCAAGGAGGGGAACAGCGTTGTAAGTTTTGTTTCCCCCCTTCCTAGTATAGTATGCTACACATCGTAGATTCCTTAATAAGTATTGGTTTAAGGAGTATTGGTAAAGTCTTAAAATAGTAAACTTATTCTATTTAATCATAATTATCTTTGAATAATCTTAGTTAGCATATGGATTGCTTGGGAAATTAAGTATCATTTGAAAATTATTCCTTTATCCAGTAAATATTTGTCTACTAAATAAGATCTAGAGCTATGAACATTTTAAGATATGGTACCCATCTTCAAAATTCTCCCAGTGGGAGCAGGGAACAGAGAAACATGCTGTTATCAAAGTGCTTTTAATGTAGCTTTCACTGTTAAAGACATCGTTGGAGTTTGTTCACAGGGTAGCAAATAAAATGTATACTTATACGCTATGGGTTTAGTGTTGAATGTTTTCTCTAAAAATGTTATTGGCAGTGAAGTTAAAATTTGGATTTTAAGATATACAAGAAGCATCACCCTAATCGATGGTTTCTTTTTCTTTATTAGACGCTTTTCCTTCCGTCCGGCACCAGATCCTTACTGTCAAGCTAAATACACTTTCTGTCCAACTGGCTCACCTATTCCGGTTATGAAGGGTGATGATGTCATTGAAGTCTTTCGGTTACAAGCCCCAGTATGGGAATTTAAATATGGAGACCTCCTGGGACACTTGGTAAGGATGCATCTTAATCTTATAAGTTTAGTTAATTAAATGATATCATTATTAAGTGGATTTGAGGGAATATTTTAGATCATGTTTATTGGTTTTCCTCTGAGTGTATTTAAAATGAGTACTCAAAAAAAATATTGTCAGGTTTTGTGATCCTGACAATAACAAATGCAGTTGCCCTCATCCCTTTTAATATTCTGGATCCAAACCCAATTCCTGTACCCAGGTCCTGGAAAAGTAGGAAGGGAGGAGGCCCAGAGGAAGACACAAGGCAATCAGGAAACACTTCTTCATTTCCAGGTCCTGTTGAATGCACTTTTCCTAGGTTAGTTCACCGTTTGAGCTTCTCATCCCCTATGAGGTACATAGAGTTCCTTCCTGAGACTGTGGCATAGGGGCTTCTCATACTCATGCTAAGCTAAAAGGAAATTACAACGTGTCCATGTAGCATACGTCCTCCCGATCTGAGATGAGCTGCAGGGGCCAGAGTGGATGAAGGCCTGGAATTTGAAGAGCCACAGAGTGGACAGGAGAGTAGCAACATGGAAGAAGGAACAGCTGAACAGTTGTTCTACTTGATTTGCAGTTGTGCTGTATCACATTTTCTCCCTCTGGTTCCTGGACTAGTTGTTGCTTCACAAATACTTTTATGCTTGTTTGATTTTTACATAGAAAATTATGCATGATGCTATTGGATTCAAGAGTACTTCAACTGGCAAGAACTACACAATGGAATGGTATGAACTTTTCCAACTTGGAAACTGCACATTCCCCCATCTCCGACCTGAAATGAATGCCCCATTCTGGTGTAATCAAGGTGCTGCCTGCTTTTTTGAAGGAATTGATGATGTTCACTGGAAGGAAAATGGGACATTAGTTCAGGTAGCAACCATATCAGGTAAGTTTCAAAAATATGGCATTATTTATGATTGCATCATATATCTAAATGATAGAAATTATTATTTTATTATTTTTTAAATAATATCTTTATTGATTTCAGGGAGAGGGAGAGAGAGAGTTGAAATAAATGATAGAAATTATTTTCATTGAAGCATCTAAGTAATGTTCTATTTTATAGAGGTCAATTTATAAAATGTATTTCTAGAACCACTAACCTTTGACCCAAACTATTACTCATGCAAAACTTCACCTGTAGGTGATGAGTAGCTTATCTCCTTTATTCCCGTGGTAAAAATGAATGAAATGATAAAACACTTTGCACAATTGGACTTCTTAAATAATAGAGGGAAATACATAAAATGCCTGAAAAAAGTCGTTGGTTAAAAGGACTGTTAACTGTATCTGGAAAGAGGCTTTTAGTGATGATACATCAAGAAATAATAATAGCCACCACTCATGTGGACTTACTCTGGGCCTGGCAGTGTTCTGAGTACTTCACGTATATCACAACATTTATCATCACAGCAGCCCCATGAGATAGTGGCTGTTATTTCCCCCCATTTTACAGATGGGGAGACTGAGGCACAAAGAGAGAAAAGTCCCACAACTAAGGAAAGTGGGACTCCAAACTTGGCAGTCAAGCTCTATTGACCATTTTCTTAATCATTTCGTGCATTGCCTCCCAAAACATATGACCTCATGCATTTAAGGCCTCTTGAGCAATTTAAATAGTTTATCTCTGAGATTTTCTATTTTCTTAGGTGCATTTAAAAGTTGCTTTAACGGTTGGAATTTTGCTGCATGTGTTGCATTTATTTAGTGATAAAGAGAGGAGTTCAGCAGAACTATCAGCAACTGGTTATATGACCTCGGTCACATTTTATCTTATTGACTCATTGCGTGTAGAATGGGAATGAGGCTGTTGGAAGTAGGGAGCTTGCCCATATCATTTCTAGAATTCCTACATTAGAAATTGTTCTCCACAAAAGTGGGAACACAATAAAAGCACCGTTTGTGATCAGAAGTATTCAGTGAACCACAGGACTTGAGGAGATTATTATGCTTTGTGCTTGTGTAGCCCTTTACAGAGCTGTTTGGATTATGTTCAGGGGAGAGGATAAGGTGCTCAACTTTTTACAAATATCGAATTAAGGTTCTGCCAGGTGGCATGACTTACCTGTCTTTCAAGGCCACAGAGCTTGATGTAGAACCAGGAAGAGAACTGGTGTCTCTTACATGTCATCTGGGGATCTTTTAACTTTATACCATGCTGTTTTCTACTTTCTAGCTGATGTGTTCCAAACCATCCAATTAATATAAAAGTCAGTTTCTCCTTAGAGCGTTCGGTGTAATGGATAGCTCTTTCTTTCATTCTAGGCCAGTTCACACCTCTCATTTCTCTTTTCCTCTCACCCCATTATCTGGAAATTCTTCCTTCTGACATAAATGTATGACCATATGGACAAATGATCACTATTTTCTGGAAAATAATTTGTAATAGGCTAGTAGTTAAATCTTTTAAGTTGTCCATCTGCTTTGTGATTAATCCTTTCCATTAACCTTTTCTCATGTTACAAAATAGTGTTTCGAAGCATTCTTCTCTCTTGATCACAGCACTGACTTTTCTAAGTTCACCAACACTAAGAACAGTATCCCCCAGTTTGAAGAAAACAGGTTTTATATTGTTCCACAATTTTAATTCTTAAAATTTATAAAGGGAGCCACTCTATTTATTTTGTAGCATGAAGTACTGATTTTACAGCCTCAAGTTGGAGTGACCTAATAAGCCTAGGTGAACTTGTAACGGTGCAGAGTATAGTGTTTTGTTAACATGTAGAGGCTCCTGTGCTCTGGTACAAGGTGGTAGGAGAGAGTGTTAGCTGTCCAGGAGTCCATATACTCCAAAAACATTTCCAGTTTTAGTTGATTTATTGGAAGAATTTGTGTGGTGGGAAGGGGGAGGTTGTAAGCAGAATCCAACAGCTGCACCATACAGGGAAAAAGGGAAATACCAAATAGTCAAGGTGGGTGGGGTGCAGTGCACCCTCTTATTTCATTGGAAGGTCAGCCTTCTCTAGCTGTCCCTCAAGAGCCATTCATACTGCATGCACCATGCTTTGTGACAAGAGAGCTCCACATGTCACCCTCTTCAATTCTTATACTGTCTTTGCCCCATTCACTCTTTCCTCTTCCACAATTTCTCTCTGCTTTTTCTCTTTTGCCTCTGAATACAAGAGTTGTTGAGTAGGGTAGAGAAAAACAGCTTCTGCATGTATGTAATTTTGCTTTTGACTATAGTTTAAATGATTATAGAATTAGTATATATGACTTATCTTTATACACCTATTATATCTAATGTTTACAATTCAAAAACACCTAGTGCCTTGAACATGGAATAAAAATTGGCTGAGCTTGGATTCCTATTGTGAGATGCAGGTTTGGAAATTCAAAAACTATTGTTTATTTATGTACATTCATGGCCTTAATCCAGTTAGAACATTTGACTTAAAACTAACATGATTAGTTTTGATATTCACATAAGTGATTTCTTTTCCCCCCCACTAGGAAACACATTTAACAAAATGGCAAAGTGGGTAAAACAGGACAATGAAACAGGGATTTATTATGAGACATGGACCGTCCAAGCCAGCCCAGAAAAAGGGGCGGAGACATGGTTTGAATCCTATGACTGTTCCAAATTTGTGTTAAGGACATATAAGAAGTTGGCTGAACTTGGAGCAGAGTTCAAGAAGATAGAAACCAACTACACAAGAATATTTCTTTACAGTGGAGAACCTACTTTTTTGGGAAATGAAACATCCATTTTTGGGCAAACCGGAAATAAGACTCTTGCTTTAGCCATAAAAAGATTTTATTACCCCTTCAAACCACATTTGTCAACTAAAGAATTTCTGTTGAATCTCTTGAAAATTTTTGATGCAGTGATTATATACAGACAGTTCTATTTGTTTTATAATTTTGAATATTGGTTTTTACCTATGAAATTTCCTTTTATTAAAATAACATATGAAGAAATCCCTTTACCTAACAGAAACAACACAATCTCTGGTTTATAAAACCTTCTTTCGACTGATTTTTGTCCTACCACCAGCATACCAGTTTTTCATGGAGTGGTTTTACATTTGTATATTTTTAAGGCCTTTCTTCCTTGGGGCAGAAAGGTAAAATGCACAGGGGCAGAATCGCTGCATAATAAAATCTCAGGAATTTTTTAGGAAAGAAGCTGAAACTCTTATAGTGTTGGCCAAAGTGAACGTTACATGATCCTGATTTCAATCTCCAACCCTTTATTAATATGGGGAATTACAGTTTATATCAGTTATTAGGCTCTTTAGAACCAACATTTTAAAATTTTATGACTATGGTGTACCAAGATTTAAAAATTACCCTCAGTGACATTTTCATTTTCATGGTAGAAGTTACTTTTCTTCTGGTATAGTAGATACACTTTTTCATTTAAGTACTTTTTGGTAGTTTAGATGGACTTCACAGCTCTTGCAGCTTTTGGAACTGCTGTTTGATTTCGTTCTGCTCACTTAACCTTAACTATTAATTTGGATACCATACCTAGAGTGGTTGTGGCTCCAGATGTAGTGAATACAGTGAAAAGAGCACAAGTGTTTGGCTAGCATTTTAGAGCTAGTTAGTAGTTGGCGTTGTGTGATATAAGCATCTTAGCAACTCTGAACCTTAGCTTAGTTTTCTTATCTCTAAAATGATTCATTGATCAGGATTGTTGTAAAGACTGAAGCCATGTGTGTTTGGCATAGCAAGGTCACAATAAATGGTAGCTATGATTAATCTAAGAACAAAATGCCATCCTTGATCTTGCCTAATGAAGCTATGGTCTAGCCTCTCCTGGATGTTGTAACAATCACCTAGACTTTGAGCTGGCAGCAGTGTTTGTCCGCAGACACTTTTTTAAATTCATTTGTCTAGGGATGAATTTTTATTACTTTTCAAAATATAGGCACTATATGATAGTCTGAAAGTAAAAACCCAGCACAAAAAAAAGACAAATGAGGCCATCTGTACGGGGAACTCGAATTTTAAAGCAAGATTCTAATAATTACATTTTAAAAAGCATTCAAGATTTTTATTGTTCCTAATATTAATGAAGAAATTCTGTGAAAGTAACAGGCTCGAGTGACAATAGCACAGAAAGCATAACATTCATATGTTAGTACTTCTTAAGAATTTACTAAACCTGCCAACTGTCCTTAAAAGATGAAGTAGGGCTTTGGAATAGAGATGATTCAAGAATGTTTTCAAAATGGGAATTGGGAAACAAAAACATGGCCAGGGAGGAATTTGCGAATTAAATTTTACAGACCTTTTAACTACTGTATAACTTAAATGTGATTGCTACTATTCTGTTAAATTGTAAATTGATAAAATTTCCTCTGTTTCTAAGAGAAATCATTTTGTTGAAGTTTGAATTGTATAAGGGCTTTACAATAAATATGTCCTCACTCTTTAATTCTGGCTCAGTATTAAATAAGTATACCCACTAACTGGCATAAATATATTTTTGTAGGTACAAGAATACAGTCAAAAGGTGAAAATAACTACTAAACTCTTAAGTATTTGAAACCCTCAGTCAAAATTTGCTCGGTCTTAGAAATCAGAAAAAAAATATTAGAAAGGCTCATCCAGTTTTATGATCTGCTCTGGTGGCACTTAATGAATTCTGTGTGACTCTAGTCCCTTTGAGATAACTTTGTTTTTTAAAAGAAATTGTTGGCATGTTACGCAAAGAGCAGTGCTCCAAAACTACACATTTTTTTCCCTTTTCACAGCCAAAGACAAACGGCCAGTTTATTTCCAGGATCTTCCTCCTATTTACCCTTTATTGTCCAAGTAGCTTCTGCTCCTCTCTCCCCTATTTAAAATAAGAGAGGATATTAGTTATATTCTTTTACTGGACTGATTATTCTAAAGGTAAGCCCTTAATTCACTTTGAGGAAAAGGTTTTGTGTCCTTTTTACGTCATTTATGTCTTTTTAAAGGAACGATGGGTGTCAGCAAACAAGTAAAACTTTTTTGGTTGCTTGGTAACATTAAAACCAGCCCACAGAGATTGCAAGTTGGCGCAACCACTATGGAAAAGTGTGGAGGTTCCTCAAAAAATTAAAAATAGAACCACCTTACAACCCAGCAACTCCGCTTACGGGTATATCCAGAGAAACCCAAAACACTCATTTGAAAAGATATTTGCACCCTTATGCTCATTGCACGATTTACAGTAGGCAAGATATCAAAGCAACTTAGGTGCCATCAATAGATGAGTGGGTAAAAAGTGTTGGTACACATATGCCATGGAATATTACTCAGCCATAAAAAAGATGAAATCTTACCATTTGTGACATGGGCAGACTTAGAGGGTATTATGTTAAGTGAAATAAGTCAGACAGAGAAAGACGAATACCACATGATTTCACTTATATGTGGAATCTAAAGAAGAAAATAAACGAACAAAACAGCAACAGGCTCACAGAACAAACCGAGAGTTACCAGATGGGAGGGAGGGTTAGGGGACTGGATGTAAAAAGGTGAAGGGATTAAGAAGTACAGATTGGCAGTCACACTGGATGTAAAGTGTAGCATAGGGAAGTCAATAGTTTCACAACTAGGGTGCCAGGTGGGTAGAATTATCAGGAGATCATGTCATTTATATAATTGTCTAACCACTATGCTGTATACCTGAAACTAACGAAATAATAGTGAATGTTAATTGTAATTGGAAAATAAATTACCTTGCACTGGAAGGCTTCAGTCCTTCAGGATGCACTAGGAGAGAATTCCTTTTGCCTTTTCCAGATTCTAGAGGCCACCTTTCCTTGGTTCATGACCCCTTCCCCTTCCACTTCAAAGACAGCAACATAGCTGCTGCATGGTCTTTCATTATGCTTTTTCCATTTTTAAAACTCATTACAATAGCTTCTAGGCATTTTTATATAAAATAAATACAATGACTAATTTTTCTAAATCAAACAAATTTTGAAACCTAAAGCCTTGTCTACAAATTATGATAGTTAGAACTACAGCATGGACTTTTTGGTAGTATTTTATACATCACTATTCTGCCTTGTGTCGTCTATATAGCCCAGCTCAAGGGCTAGAAATCAGAAACAAATGGTCCCACAGTTAGTTATACAGTCCTTACCGCATTATCTTATTTAACTCACAACTGGTACTTCAAATTCTTAAGAAAATGGACTAGCCAAATTGTTCTGTCCTGGTTTTTTTATTAGTAGTTCTGTAAGTTTTTATAGTTGTACACCTATAGTGTGCCAAGAAAAGTTACAATAAATGTAAACATGATTTTATTGGGGGGAAAAACATAATAAACTCAATCAAAAACAGCCTCACAGATGAACTGGGGCTGGAGTCCGTGCAAAGACTGTCCCAAGTTATGCTTGGGGTAAAGATTACCTATAGCTCCTTCAAGAACTTTAGTTCAGGCCTGAGCCTTCTTCACATTAAACACCCCTCACCCCCCATCCTAACCTTTTTATTAATATAAACAATTGTTCGAATGCAGTAAATTGATTTAATCTTTAATTGTGCCTGTTTTTTCTGATATTAAAATAGCCCAGATTATTAAGGTAAATTGAAGTTATTTTATGGAAGCTGTTAAAACAGGAGATAAAAATAATTTCAACAGTTTAAATAAAAGCTATTGTATGGCTTTATATAGACATTTCTCTCTAAAAAGGCGACCTAGGCTCAAGGACCCTAACTAAGAATTCTATTTCTAAATAATCTGTCTCACAAATTCTTATTCTAAATGTAGAACGAACCTATTTTTTATTTTTATCGTAACCATTTTCTTTATAAAGTTTGAAGAATAAATTTACATTTCATGGTCAGTTTTTAATTTCCCATCACTAGAAAACCGTAAGTTTGTAAGTTTAACTTGTTTTAAAGTCAATTAAGTATATATGTTAGGGTAGTTTTTTTATCTTTACTGTTGAAAGTATTACAGATTCCCCCCACTCACACCCTTCCCCCATTGACTCCCTCCACCCTGCTCTGGCCCCATTAGGGCAGTTTTTAAAAATTGTAATACAACAGTATTAGTAACTATCTTTATTCTTAAATTGATAAAAGCATTTAACACATACTTTACAGTATAAACAAATATTAAGTGCTATACATTTTGCTTATAAAGTGACTTAAAATATTTCAAGCATTATAGAATTCCATTTGTACAAAAAGTAAATTTCCAAATAAAGCTTTGGTTAGTAGAACGGACTATGTACTGTCAAATCCACTTTCCAACAGTTGTGACAGGAAAAAAGCTTCATTTGCCAACACACATATTTTTGTACAAAGCTTTTTACTATTTAGTAAGGGGGAAATAGTATAATTACTTTTAATTTCCAAGTCTAGATCACTCTTTTTCCTTCTCATTTATACGTGGCCAGAATACTATCACTTTTAAAAGGCAAAAATTATGTAGAATATCACCTTTTACTTTATTCTTAGAAAGGTAATCTATTTTAAAAATAGATCAGACCTGTAAGACTATTAGCTTCCATAACTACCAAAATTGCTTTCTAAAAGTCTGAAGCATTAATATATTCCACTGGGGTTAAATCACTTCTAATTTCCCTTAGGAGGGTAATATCTACTAGCACTAGTGCTCAGGATCAAAGTTTATATAATATCTAAAAAAACTAAATGTAGCCTAAAACTTAGTATTTTTATAGATTCTACAATGTGTGGATTACCTTCATTCATATGAAAAGTAATAAAAATGCTACCTAACTTAAATAATGTATCAGGTTTAACCAAATTAACAATCACAAAACTGTAGACATTGTTCTATTAAAATTTTCCAGTCCACTGAGCAATATTTACTTAAAAATATAATTATGAATTTAAATATATCCTCTTTAAAATTTACAGTTTATGCTGAACTGTACACTGGTGCTTCTTTTATGATTTTTGAAAATCCTACTTAACTATATAATTCCAAAATGGAAAATGAGCCATCACTGAAATTCATTGGACACTAATATTTTTTCATGAAAATAATTTTTAAATATTTTAAAGTTCTATCTTTAATTATTTCAATTTAGCTTTTTTAAATAAACTTTTCATTTCAATTACTGTGTAATACTTCAAAACTAGTTTAAACAAAGATAAACAAAACCAAGAACTGGTAAAACATTCCTTACTTTACATACGATGCTTTAAGTGCCACATATATAGTAACATATTGCAGAAAAATGTTTATGGTTTAGCAGATTACAAAGCAAACCTAAAAATTTATACAAAGCTAAACAATGCCTCCCTTCTATTGTTTATTTTCTTTTAAATTGAGCTTGGCTGTTTATTATCCTTCTAATATAACCACTGCGTGACATATATCAGATTTCTAAGTATTCCAATTATATTTATACCTCATTAAACAGCTTTGTAATATTTGAGAACATTCAACCATTTTTCATTAGATACAAAATATCCTACATTTTTCTCACAAGATGCTCACTTTCCTGAGCTATAGTAAACACCTTATAACAGGTGTATGTATAACTGAAGACCCTAAAATGTCAAGTTTACATTTTAAAAAAATGCATAGACAACATAACATTTTGGGAAACCTGTTAGTATTCACTTCCTGGATATTATAGTATATAGGTTTTGTTCCTTCAGACTGTAAAATATTTAATCTTTATAACAGGTTATTACTTTCAGATTTGAACCACATTTAAAAAAATTTTCTGCAATCTGACTACTAAAGAAATAGACAAAATTTTCTGATCAAAAATGGTCCATGGGTCTTCTAATAAACAATCCTTATATACGCAATGCAGATATTAAATCTCTGTGCCACAAAATAGAATTACATCAGAACTACAGGAAATAAACTTTTATTATAATACAATATGCTTAAAGTTAAGGTGCTATTCATCGTTCCCTACATCACTCGGTCTTTACCACGTGGGCATCATGTCTGGAAACCACACCCTACCAAGATGCTTGGACACTTCCCAATGAATCTGCTCCAAATTATACTTTTGGTCAGGAATTAATACTTCTTCCATAATGGATAATTGAGATAGGCGGCCACCACACATCTTCACAAACTCAACAAAGGCACTACATGAGACTTCACATTCCCCTAGTCCAATAGCTGACAAATTTTTGCAACGTTCTGCAATTCGAATTAACTCTTCATCAAGAGGCCGTAATCCATTAGCACACACTACTAGTTCAACTAGTCTAGGACATGTCATTCCCACACGGCCAAGCACATCTTTGCTTACTGATCTCCCAAAGTAAAGATGGGTGGCAGGTATTTCATACCGAAAGAATGGATCAAATTCCTCTTCATATAAAAAAAAGTACATCACTAAGTTGACTTTGGGTGAGTGTCTGATAAAAGCATCCCAGCTGCTCTTCTGAATAGTATGGAAGTGTGTCTGCCCAGGATTCTCACTGACTACATCAATGCGCAAATGTTCTAATCGAACGTGTTTTTCAGAAGATAAAGCCAGCAGCAATTCATCACTTAACAAGTGGTAATTCAGGGCCAGTTCACGTAAGCCATGACATTGATCAGCCACACAAAGGATACCTTGGAAGAAAAAAGACCTAATTACTTACAAATTTCTGTACAAGGTCATCATCTGTTCAAAAATTTAATCAAGTATATGTCCCACGATAAAATCTTACATTTCCCTTACACAAAGCTATACAATTTAAAATTTAGTTGTATGGTTGAAATAGCAAAAGGTAAGTCACCAATATTTAAAAATTTATTACTAATTTTGATATAAGAAAATGAGACCAATTTAAATCTCATACCTTAAAAGAAATGAAGCTCACTTATCAACTCAGAAAAATCATACATTATTACTTATATCATTTAAAAATATACAATGACTAAGGTTTATCTCAGTAATGCAGTACCATATTTAAAAAACAACAACAAAAAAATTACGCTAAACTTACAGGTTAAGCAAGAAAAATTATATGATCGCTGCAACAGAAGCCCAAGGACATTTTTTGAAATTCAAAACCTTAATAAATCTTAATAAAATAAAAGTGTAAAAACTATATAAAATATGATTTATATAACTAAATGAAACATTTGAAAAATAATATTTCCATCAAATGAGCAGAGTTTAACTGCTAATAGTATATAATAAGCTTGTCACATTTCTAAGAAAAAAATACCACAATAAGTGAGTCAAAAGGTAATTACCAATTCACATTAATGGAAATATACTTTGAAAGCTCTAACATACCCCACAAAGCAGTTCCTTAAATGATTCTAATGCTCAGGGCACTATGCTTCAAAACTGCTCCAAACCTCTAGCAGCAGATGACTTACCAAAGGTTAATATGTGATCTCCAAAGTGGCCTCGTAAGACACACCCTACATATACTACTTGATGATAAATGACCCATTCAAACCATTTCCTTTTTGTGTTCAGAAAAAAGAATAGGAACAAAACTCTTATATTATCTACTATTTATTGTACAACAATGATATGTCAGGTACTGGATATGTTATCTGACAAATACTCAAAAAAGTCTAGAGAGGTAAGATTGTATTTGAAGCTGAGGTGGGTAACTAAAGGTAGCACAACTGGAATTGAAACACAGACTCAGTGATGAGGGACTCTTAAGTTCATGCACTTAACTACTGCTTAAGAAGTGACAATAAGGAGGCCACCAATAAGCTAAAAGCTTTCGAGTAGTGGGAGGAGAATGGCCAGTTTAAGAGAGTCACCAGAAGAGGGAGTAAAAAACATCTGTACTTCACCATTCAGCCACTGCCAAGTTTGTCTCTATAAGGTGTGTATATACTTTAAAATAAACCCTGACCCCTCAAGGTAAGCTGAGCACATTTTCATTCTTTGCAATTTTATAAAGTCTGATATAAAAAGAAAAACACAGGGGAAATGGTAACCAAAGATGCGAAAAAGAAACTTGGAGGTACCATTTAATAATTACTAAAACAGTGTGGCAGACATTAATTTTAAAACAAGTTCCCAAGATTCCGCGCCCTAATCCCTGAAACCTGTGAATGTAATAAGATACCACTCCCATGACTGTGTTATATTACATAGCACAGATGGCTTTAAAACAAGATTATCCAGGTGGTTCTAATGTAATCACATGACCCCTTTAAAAACTGAGTGCAGAAAAAAAGTGAACGGTATTTCCTGTGTGAACACCCAGATATGGAAGAAAATGTGAGCATTCTAAGAACTGACAGAAGCTCAACACAGGGTATCCAAGTAAGAAAATTTCTTAAAAGTTGAAGCCCAATCTATAGGCAAGGAGCAGATCATACAGGATCTTCTCAGCCTCAGTAAGGAGTGTGGATCTTATCTAAAGCATAGCAAGACGTTTCTAAAGAAACTGGAGGGGAAAAAATCAGACATTATTTTAGAGATTACTCTCGCTGTAGCATGGAAATCAAATTAGAGAAGAGCAAAGCTGCAAGTCAGGAAGTCAGTTAAGAGGGTAGAGCACAAAGATTGTGGGGCCTGGACTAGAGTAGTAAGAGTGGAGATGAAGAAAGGTACGTACAGTGTCTTAGTCAGTTTGGGCTACTTAACAGAACTAGGTGGCTCAAAAAATAAACATCTTTCTTGCATTCTGGAGGCTGGAGGGCCATCCAAGATTATGGTGCCAGCATGGTCAGGTTTGGGTTAGGGCCAGAACTCTCCCTACTTGTAGATGGCCACATTCTCACTGTGTCTTCGCACGGCGGAAAGAGAAATCCTCTCTCCTGTTCCTTCTTATAAGGGTACTAACCTTATTGATGAGTGCTCTACTCTCATGACATAATTACCTCCCAATACCATCACACGGGGATTAGGGCTTCAACACATGAATTGGGGGGCTGGGGGATAACACAAACATTCATTCTATGGCATCACAGAGATTCAAGGCATATTTCAGTGATGGAGTCGGCCAGACCTCTGTGACTGAAGGAATGTACAAAGTAAGGGTAGGAGGAATCAAGGATGTCTATAAGGTCCCTGACAACTGGATGGATGGTGCCAATCACTAAGACAGTAAAAAAGGGAAAAGCAAGAGATTTGGACGGGGGAAAAGGAAGTTCATTTGTCTGAAGTACCTGTGAGACATTCTAGAGGCACTGGGCCACTGGCAGCTCAATACACAGATCTAGAGTTTCAGAGACACCAAAAGTAGGAGATAGTCACATATAGAATGTAACTGAAGCCATAAATGATGATGACAGAGCCCAGTGTTTACACAGTAAAACAAGGCCCCAATATAGAAGACAGTGGAACATCAAAATTTAAAGAATGAAAAGAAAACCCAGCAAAGAAAAAAAACAAAGTAGAAACAACCAGAGAGGGAGGAGGAAAATCAAGAATATATCAAAGAGGCAAGACACAAGTGTCAAATGGCCCCTAAAGGTCTAGCAATAGACAATTATACAGACTATATGAAATGGGAAGACGTTTGATAAGATGTTCAGTGATGAAAGCAGAATATAAAATAGCCTGTAATCTCAATTTAGAGAAATTGTCCAAATGTGAAAAACATGGATAGAAATAAAATATACAAATGCATTAAATTTTAAATTAAAGTCCTCTATAGTTATACTCTTAAATTAAAAAGTATTACCACCCTGGCTGGGTGGCTCAGTTGGCTGAAGTGTAATCCCATACACCAAAAGGCTACAGGATCAATTTCTGGTCAGGGCACATACCTAGGTTCCAGGTTTGATGCCTGGTTGGACTGTGTACGGAAGGCAACCAATCGATGTTTCCCTCTCCCTCTTGCTCTCTCTCTAAAATCAATAAAAACATATCCTTGGGTGAGGATTAAAAGTATTACAAGTGCTCCTTCTCCTTCCTGAACAACTAGTCCAAAAGTCATTAGGTGAGATCAAGCAAGCTTATACCATACTATCAGAACTGATGTGTGTATTAATGAAAATAAACATAAGATGTACAGGGATAAAGAGAATAATGAGCTCAGTCTCACAGAGAAACCAGAGACCCAAAGGCTCTGTCTCACACAGTGTGGCAAGTGCTACAAGTTGCATTCAGAGTACTATGGAAACGACAGGGTAGCTAAACTAGAGAGAGGAGGAAACAGCAATAAAACCCGAACACCTGAGCTGAATTTTGAAAGGTGAGTTGGAGTTATCTAAATGAAGTGGGGGGGGGAAAGGTATTCCACGGGGTACAGTGCACTGATGACACACACAGGTATAAAGAACATAGTTACATAGGGCTTAAGTAAAAGCTGCACATGAGTGAGCAGCAAACATAAAGAGATAGGTGAAGATCAGGATACAAAGGACTGTGTACACTATGAAGCTATGAATTATAAATCTTACTCTCATAGCAAATCTATACAGTGTAAAGTGTGACTAAGGTTAGAAAAGAAGTAACTGCCAAAGCCCATACTTCTTAATTTAGATTATCATCTTTTGTGATAATCTAGAAGTGGCAGAAGCAGCTAGGAAAATATAGTCATCCCTCAGTATTCATGGGTGATTGGTTCCAGGACACCCCCACACCGAAACCAAAATCCACGGACACTCAAGTCCCATATATAAAATGTGTAGTATTTGCTTATAATATACACACATCCTCCCATATACTTTAAATCTCCTGTACATTACTTATAATACTTAATTCAATCTAAATGCTATGTAAGTAGTTGTTATCCTGCATTGTTCAGGGAATAATGACAAAAAAAGAGTCTGTACGTGTTCAGTACAGACGCAACCATTATAGACCTAACCCCATAGTAGACATTAGCAACAACATAACTTTTTTTTTTCCTGAATATTTTCAATCCACAGTTGGTTGAATCCATGCATGCAGAATCCATGGATATAGAGGGCCATATCCACATACTACAAGAGACCTAGCCATTCCCATCACCAAGATCCTCCATGTGGGAGATGGGAGAATGAGCAAATAATCTCCATCCAAGAGGGAATCATTTTCCTGGGGAAAAGCCAGGAAAGGCTTTAGTTATGGCAAGAGGTTGGGAAGTGTTCTGTAAAGAGTTCAAGGACTTAACACTGTTCCTTAAAAACAGGTTTCCCAAATAACAGCCAAAGAATTGGGAGGAAAGTCAATACTGGGAGGTTGAGTCAGGAATGAAGCATCAGAGAGTAATACCAAGTATGGGTTTATACTTACTTTACAATACAAACCATTTGGAATGTAAATGATATCAAACTGAATAATGCAGAAGACTTAAATTCTATATGAGAAGCTGTAAAGAGATTTTATAATGCTATTCCCCCATTTGAAGAGGCTTTTGGCTCCATAATTCAACTTAGGAAAAGCATTATCTTGCAAAATAAGGCAACAACTTCAGCACAACTCTTCTCTACATAGTGAGAAGAAAAGCAATTCTGTTAGCGCAACTACAATTAGAGAAAATTCTATTTTATCTAAAGGGGCACCTCAGGCAAACCTCATCTCATCCTTTCCTTTTTTAAAAAAAAAATTTATCCATTTTTATAGCACAAGTTGGACACAGATTGCCAAATAAGATTAGAAAATAATTTGGAAGTGTCATTAAAAACACTTATGTAAAAGAGATGAAATAATCATATTAATCCACCTTCAAGATTAGTGATCATAGTTCTTCTTTATTTGATAAACACATCAATACATTTTACTGTTACCTGGCAAAAACAAAACATACCTGCTGGGGACACATGAGGACAGCTGCTCATTTTTAGCAGCTTGAGCGTATCACTGTTGTTGGCCACTAGTACTTTGAGGGATGGATCATCTACTGGGGTGTCATCTATCTTAAGCGAGGACAAGGATTTGGAGTTTACAAACACAACTGTCAGCGCAGAGATAAAGTGAGACTGAAAAGCAAAAAAATTAGAACATTGTTTCAATTTCTACAAATGAGAATTGAGGGAGTTGTCATAATACATATATGGTTCATTTGAATGCTAATACTATTTCATAACTGTTTTAGGGGTAGCATCCCCTTCACTTTTTTACCTTAGGGGGAAAAAAGCACCTTTTTACCTTAGGGAGAAAAAAAAACTTCAAGCCTCAGGATGAATGTCTCTGTATCACAATAACCACTGGTAAGTTAAAAGATGAATTCTGGAATCCAGGATGAGAATACCTCTCAGACACTTCACATCACCTTACCTGGAAACCCTACTCTGGTGTTTTATAACACTAAATTGCATTATTTTTTATTCTGATAGTCATGACCATTAAAATAGTAATAACTATTACCATAATCATTAAAAATTAAAAATGACAAGTGAACTCAGAAGCTATGAGACTCATTTGGAATACGAAAGCTCATACAAAATTTGATTCTAAAATCATCAAAATCATACCTAAATAAAATTCTAAATTTAAAATTCCTTGAAATATGTTAAATTATAGTATTTTCAAGCCTATTTTAACGTATTTTTCCACAAATGCCATCCATTTATTACACACATATACTAAGTTATCAGTTGGACATAGAACCTGACCTAAAGGAACCACAGTAGGGAAACAGGAAGTAAAGCATAGTCAGCGTCTGGCTCAGTGGCTCAGTTGGTTGAAGCGTCATCCTGGACACCAAAAAGTTCCAGTTCCATTCCTGATTAGGGCTCAGACCGGAGGCAACCAATCGGTGTTTCTGTTTCCTTCCCCCAGCCCTGCCCTCTCTCCCGTCTCTCTCTAAAAATCAATAAAAACATATCCTCGGGTGAGGATTAAAAAAAAAAAAAGGTTAAAAAAAAAAGCATGGTCAAAGTATGTGATCATTTGAGTAAGAACTAAGAAGCCATAAACAATGGACAAAGAATCAAGCGGAGTAAGGAAAGAGAGGCCAGCACATGGTCAAACATGTTTTTCTACAGAGCCAATCTGACCCTCCACTTAGCTTTATAAATTCACTTCAGCAGTGGAAAGGGAAGAGAGCAGGCTAACAGCCAAGGAAGTACAGCTGACTCTTGAACAATATGGGTTTGAACTGCGCAGGTCCTTACACATGGATTTTTTTTGAAATTGAAAAATCTCAAATTTCGTGTAAGTGGATGACCCATGCTGCCCAAATCCGTGTTGTTCATAAGTCAATTGTATTTGATCCACAGTTGGAAATCCCCATATGCTGAGGGCTGGATTTTCAAATGCTTGGGGGTAGCTGCCCCTAACCCCATGTTGTTCAAGGGTCAACTGGACAATGAAACACTATCTTCTTGGTCACATTTCTTTTTCAGTATGGTAATTAAGTAACTGTCTTACTACTTATATTTTGACTAAGTAACTGTTTTACTATTTAAATATAACATCTTCCTCCTAATATTTTCATATCAAACTCAATTATATCTTAATTACAGCCACATTTCTTCATTTGTATACTGCATCACTGCCTTCATTTTCCCATTTCCCTCAGATTTAGCTCTGGTCAAATGCACTTCTTTTATGTTCTCTTTGGTTCTCACAGGATTTCCAAAATATAGCAACACCCTATTTCAATCTCTACAAAAGCCATAACAGGAAAAGAAAAAGAGAAAAACAGTATAAGTATCCTAGGCCCATATACATCAATTGTTCCTGAAGACAAAACTGCTACATACAAGTAGAGCACCAGTACTAATTATACATAATGATAATCCTGAGTAATAAAAAAAATATATGTTCAACATACATTTTAATATGGTATATTTTATACATATACCATATGTGTGTTTGTTTTTTAATCATGGTTATGTACATAAAAAAAATCAATTCAGAACATTTCATTTCCCACATGATGCTTAAACGAGATGCTGCTACTGCACAAAACTAAGTGCTTCTTAGAGTGAGGTCCTTGAACATCTTAGGACTGACTGCTCTTAGAAAGGGAAAATGTGAAATAGGAATAGTAACCCAAATTCAGAAGTTCCTCAAATGATTTTTATGCACATTAAGTTTGAGAACTACAGTGACCTGATGTACTTAGGATCTTAAAATGCTGAAATAAACAGAATCTCTTGTCCATTTCCCTTATTTTACATGAGGAAAAACATTTTATCTCAAATGTCCATATGTAGTGAAGCGTTTTAAAATCAATTAAGACTCAGAAATTAACTCGTGATTTATTTGTTACTGATACACTATTGAACCACCTGGGTTATAATACTCAAGTTAGTAAAATCTATTCCTGAATCATCCTAGTAAATTAAATTATTAGGTGTTTTAAAAGGATGTCTACATTTTATAGTGTACTCTGAAAAAAAAAAAATCTTCAAATTATTGTTGGATACTAACCTGCGAAACATTAGCTAACATACTCAGGGGCTTTTATTCGTTTTCTATCTAAAAATGAAAACTTATTTTCCTATTTTAACAGAATAATTATTAGAGAGACTATTTCTAATTACATGTGGGATCATCTTAGAACATAAATATGAATATATATTAACTCTTCACCAAAAAAAGTTTTCTTTAAAAAAAACACACCTGTAAATCAATCCAAGCTGTACTGATACTAACTTTGCTTAAGGATAAATCTTTACAAACTTATCAGAAGATTTTATAAGCAAGTATACCTGCTTTAATACTGGCACTGTCTACTTTTCTTTGATTTTAATTTCACCAATCTGCTCTGAAAATCCAAAAAAGGATATCTATACGTCTCTTTTTCTAATATGCTTGTTTCTGTTTTACTTCGTCTCTTTCAGGACTTGTATAGAATCCTCTGCAAATTCATTCACTCTTCCACCTTACTCATGAAGAAGCACAAGGATAAAAAAAGGAAAGCTTTTAAAAAATCCTATTAACATTCTAAATAGAAACTGATTTTCTATTATAATATTACTTTTCTTAAACTCCCAATGTCAGTTCAAAAAATGGATAACGTTTCAATGTATTTCTCAAGCTAATAAAACTAAACCAAGATACCTTTGGTAAATCCATAAAACTTGGCCGAGCAGTTGAAATAAGTCCAAGTGTTTTTAAAGAGCAATTCACAAGCTGCGATAATATATCACAAGCTGCTTCAGCTGATTCTTTGCTGCTGTCCACCTTAGAAAAGAAAATACCATTTACCCATGGATATATTTACATTACTCTGTGCATAACTTTACAAAAGCAAAAAATAGTTATTATTTACTGCATTATAACGTAAAGAATATTGATTCTTTCGATCATCCACTCTCACATAAATATATTTATCAACTTAACTCTACCAAAAACAAAGTTTTCTTTAAATAAAATCTGTAAATCAATCCGAGCTGTACTAACTTAGCTTAATAAATTTTTACACACAAGATTTTATAAACAAGCTATACCTGCTTTCAATACTACCACTGTCTACTTTACTTTGATTTTAATTTCACCAATCTGCTCTGAAAGTCCAAAAAGGCACATCTATATGTTTCTTTTTCTAATATGCTTATCAGTTTTACTTTGTCTCTTTTAGGACTTTCCTGAGTCACCCTGAAAAATTATAAGGGCAACTGTCAAAATTTAACTTTCATTATGGTAAGATATATATTTAATGTTGAAAGAACTTGGCTTTAAGTTGATTTATTCCAAACTGACTATTTAAACTAATGAAATGCACGAATTTATCTTTGAAAAATAATTACATACTTGGTAATGGATACAGTCATACATATAAATACACTGCCTATGGTATACGTGTTTCAAGACACAAGAAACTGAAGTATTTACTCAGAAGATTCAAGTAAATCACAACTGGGAATGCATCACTGATATTAATGAAAAATGAATGCAAAGTAAAATAAGGGCCTCCAACAGTCAAGCATGAAAATCTGAAACAAGGAGAAGTAGCTGCTCCTACATACTCTTCTGCATAGATACATCTCAGGAGAAGGGTACTATGGCTAAAAAATTCCTAAGAGCTCTTTTTTCAACAAGGAAGTTGTTCTGGGGCTAAAAAGCATCCTAAAACAGATAGTTAAAAGTAATGTCATTACTTTAATTCCAGATTGATATACATTACCTTAACCCCAAAATGTTCTGAAGAGCTGGTTGAACAACTGTTGCTCTGATTTATATTAAAGTTTCAGAGCTGTTTATAATATCCTTTAGCTAAGTTTGTCTACATCAGTGGTTTCAAAGTGTAGTCCCTGGACCAGGAGCATCAACATCACCTAGAAACTTGTAAGAAATGCAAATTCTCATGCTCAACCCAGACCATATGAATCAGAAACTTTGGGGGTGGGAGCCAACAATCTTGATCTCAACAAGCACTCTAGGTGGTTCTGATGCACATAAAGTTGGAGAACCATTGTTCTACACTAATAACTGACTACACGCCTCTTTGGCCTATAGTTAGTGATGAATTAAATATATTATGAGGAAAGGTCAGAAAAATTCTGTAATTTGGCCCTTTTTGAAAATCAGAAATTATTTCCTCAGCAATAATTTCAATAAAATAAAAATGTTTAAACTTATAGGACAAGTGGTTTTGTGAGGGTTATACGAGTTGGACACAGCTGAATTGTGTCACAGGCCTATAAAAGATTAACACTGACCCAGCTAATCCACAGGATGGACTTGGTCTTTTGATCTATGAGATTAACATATTATACCAATTTTTTACAGGATTTACCATTAGAACATTCTTAGACAACTCAAAGATGACTGAAACCAAAACAAAGGCTCCTGAATTTTCTAAATGGGGAGGTGGGGTAGGGACAACACATGAGAAGTTCCTAGCTTTTTGTTTGTTTGATTGTCCTACCATTCCTCCACCCTTTCCCCCAGTTAGGGTTGCCAGATAGCATACAGGACATCCAGTGAATAAATATTAAGTATGTTTCAAATAATGCAAGGGACATATTTATACTAAAAATTATTTGTTATCTCAACTCAAATTTAACTAGGCATCCTCATTTTTATTTGCTAAGCTTAGCAATCCTACCCTCAGTGGCCTACCCCTTCATACATTTTTCTGGGAAGAAGGCCATAATATACCCAACCATTCCCATCACTAGGTCTCTCCTCCTTGGACACATATGGGTGAATAAGCCAGTAATCTCTATCCAAGGAATGACATACCTGGGAGCAAACAACACTTCATTTTACTAAAGAACCACTGCTTTACCTGTTTAATAAGTGCAACATATAGTTAAATCAGGTATTCAGGTGTTACTTTTCAACAGTAATCATCGTTACTAATTTAGTAAATAAACATACCAATATTCCACTATTCATCCCCAAAACAAAACATTACAAACCACTGTGATTCCTTAAATTATTCTGGACATCTCAGAAAGCCATCCCACTTCATTTATCTCATCCCTGCATGATTTCAATATGTCCCTTCCAGCAATTAAAAGAAACAAACAGTTCTTTTTGGTATTCTTCAATGTACCTTTTTCTCTTTCTCTCTAAAATATATTCTTCTAAATATTTTACCTAACATTTCTGTATCTCCTTTTTCTTTGAAGACCCCCATATCATAATATCATAATCATCAATATGCAAACTCAGTCCCTATTAGATAGAAATAACAGTTGAGTGTTAATCATAATCTCCACATTTAAAAAATTTTACTGTATATTTTTTCCTCAAATTGCTTGCAATAATTCACTGTGACTGACAGCTTTGGTCAATGATTTATACTGATTTAGTGGTTGCTTCTGCTCTTTTAAGAAATTATTAATAATTATAAAAAAATGGAGTAATTAAGCTCAAGTATAATTATTTGTCACAGCTCCTAAGGTACACAATAATTCTACATCTTTACGCACTTTCCCTAAAAAGCAGTATTTGAAAGGCATGAGAAGATGTACTGATTTAGGATACAAAGGTCACTAAATATGCTTTATTTTTTAAAAGAAGGATTTAAAGTATTACCTTGAAGCTGACGTATTGTAGATGGTTTGAATGTCTTTTAATGATCTGTTTGATCAGCTCTGGATGTGTAGCTTTCAGATAAGATGTAGCTGGCTGATTCAGTTCAAATTCAAAACATCTCCACAAGTCAGGCATGTGAAATACCTGGTTCCAGTTGCGACAAACTTGTGAAGCATGAGCCCGGTCAAGAAGAGGCAAATACTTAAATACTTGGAGAATAATGTCCTGAAGGAGATTACCCCAATCACAAGTCTGAGAATATGCATTTGTAGTCCTCACTTTCTTGGATTTCTCTGCAGTATCTTCTTCAGATGAATTATGATCACTATCTCTTCCTCCTCGTTTCATCCTATTTAGAAAAATGCACAATTTTTTTCATACTTAACTTCTGAATAAAGTAAATCTAAAATTAAAATTCATTCTTCTGTCACTGATATGTGTATATTTGTATTTATAAATATGAACACAAACATGCAGAAAGAACTGGACCAGTAATTCCAGGAAAATATAAAAACAAAATATAATGAAAACAGCAGTGGAGACCAACTATCATCTTACAAATTCTACACAGGTGTTTAAACATTTATGTTTATACTGTACTATTTGGGGCAAAAGTTTATCATGATTTTGAAATGAAACCAAGAATTTACTGCCCTGGCCTGATGTGGCTGTTAGCTGGAGTGTCGTCCCATATGCCGAAAGGTGGAGGGTTAGATTCCAGATCAGGGCGCACACAGGAGGAAAGCAATCGATATTTCTCTTTCTTTCTCCCTTCCTCTCTCTAAAATCAATTTTTTAAAAGAGTTACAGTGAAATAACTAAAAGAGAACCTACAATGACCCTTTCAAAGTTTCTTACAAGACATCTAACGATACCCACTATATTTGAAATCTTGAATTTAGGGCAGACCAGAGTTCCAGGAATCTCCAGAGGATTTGAATTAAGTAGCCAAGAGATTTTTCCACACTGAATAGTTTGTGATACATGTTACCCTAAGACCCACTCTATGCTAAAAATATGCAAACCCATTCTTAAGTATTGTTTGGTCTGAAATGTGGTTTCTTTTTCCAACACTTACTACTGCAATATTTTCCCCAAGTTCTATTTCTGAATGATAGGTATGTGTTTATTACATATATTTGTATTCCATCTGTTTCTTTAAAAATAGTCTTTTTGTTACAAAATACTAGTGTGGCCCTGGAATTAAGCTACCTGGGTTTGAATCCTAGTTCTCCGTCTCACTGGTTATGTGGCCTTGAACAAATTACTTGACCTCCCTGTGCTTGTTTGTAAGATGGAAGATAATAACACACAGGGTTCTTGTGAGGAATTAAATAGTACTAGGTCTTTTGAAAGGAGATGACTGTTAAACTCAGTTACAGCAAAGCAGTCCAGCATTAAAGACATTAAAGTACATGACACAATAAAATAGTAAAAATGATCTTACTTTTGTTTTCGAACAAAGTGTCTGTGTGAGAGCGCAAGAACACACATTTATGAATGAGAAACACACACCAGAAGTAGATTCACATTAATATAGTAACTATAACAGTGAGTGGGCTATTATATTAATTATATCATATTGGGATTTAATAGTGGCAGAGTTACAGGTGAATTTTTTTGTCAATATGCTTCTCTGTATTATACATATTTAAATTTCAACTAATCACACTATAATCAGATAAAAAGATCTTAATTTTTTTTATTTAGAAGTATTGCAGGCTCTAAACTAAATGTGAAACTTCAGTTACCAGTACCCATTTAGTTCAGAACCTGTAATACTTTCCTTTTGACTCTAGACAGCAGTTCCGGCTTGGCAGTGGTTTGGATTTGGAGTCATAGCTTTTCAAAAGGATGCCTGGCTCCAGCTCTCTTCTTGGCACACTAGCATATGAGAATTTGCGATTCCTGTGTGGGACGAAGGATGTGCTAATGTATGAATCTTAACCAAATATGTCTTTCGAGATTCTCTTTCTATCCAGTTGCTAGCAACATTTGTGAAAAAGGACGAGGGACTGGAGGGAAACGGCATGGCAGGGACCCCTGGACTTTATCACATTAAAATCAGCCCAGGAGGTCTTAGCACATGTGCAACAAACTGCCTTTTCCCCATTGCTCCTATTCCCAGCTACGTGAGTTAAGTGAAATAAATGATGTATATCCTTTTGAGCAAGGGGAGAGAAAGGGAAAAATCAGAATGACAGAGGTGATGGCAAGAGGGTAGTTTTATGGGAGACTAAAACTTATGTATGAATCTAAGAATGTGTATTTTAAAATATATTTAGAGAAAAGGTAGTATAAACTACATCATAACCTTTAATATGAAAGTAATGATGTCTTATTAGAATAGAAGTTGAAATAACACTGTCATTATGACCCATTTTTCTCCTTTAACTTATCCTGAAGGCTTACTTTAATTTTAGCATATAAAATTTGGGTCAAAGAACAAAGAGTTTGCTACCTAGGGCTTGTAATTTCTTTTCTGGCTATCTAAAACTCTTCAGAATTTTGAGATACAGAGGTTCAAAAAAGAATGAAGCCATCTTTATAATTTCTACTCCCTATTGTTGATTGCCTATTTCTGGAGAAAAGTCTTCTAAAACCAGAACTATTCAACTTAAAAATGAAATGATTCATCTTACTTTAGAGTATATGGACATACAAACAAAAATGACAGTTTTATTCATGCAATTATCTTTGTTACTACTTTGCTGATCCTAACAATATAGATACTTTCTTTTGTCTATTACAGCCCTGTTTTAAATAAAGTATATTTCAATACCTTTCCAAGCTGAGGGGGAAAAGAGTTAACATATTAAAAACAAGTGTGCAACACTGAGGAATAGCATCTCTTCGTCTAGATATTAAGACTATACGACCACCAAAGTATATTTTAAGCATTTACTAGTTTATAACTAGCCGAACAAAATCTGTATTTGTCATACATAATATGACTATAATATGTCAGAATTACAGTATATTTAGCAAAAAACTCTAAGGCCAAATGCCAATAAAAATGGTCTCTGCATCATCCTCATTTATGCATGAAAATAACAGAACACAGTGGGCACCTAATAAAATTTTTAAGTATCAATTTTTTCCAAGATGATCTCATTTATCAATGCAAAAATATACATCGCTTTCAAAAGTATTTTATTAAATCTATTTACACGTGAAACTCTACGTAATAAAGGTGAATTCAAAGCATCCATCAGTCTGCAAAGAATTTACATCAATGAACTATTTCCTACTTTTAGTCAAAGGGAAACACCTCTTATATTTTAAGAAAAGCCCAGAGGTGGAAGCTGGACAATGAATGTCAAAGGCACTTTGTAGAGCACCAAAACCAGGCCTCTTCAGGGCTCTGGCAGCTCAATTTCAAACTGCAACTTTTCCTGGCCCCAAATAATTAATGCAACTTAGGCCACCAGAGCATTTGGTGTGGGACTGATATTCCTACGAAGGGCCAAAAAGCAAACTAATGACGAAAGACTACAGCCTAGTTGAGCAGCACAGGGAGTTGCAGAACTAACAACATTTCCACACACCCTGAAAGGAGCAGTCAGGCTTATTTATCAGGGGAAGGGCAGAAGAGAACACTCGGCTGTGTCCCTCACTGCATTAGGCACTTTTAGCACATTGGGCTTGCAGTAATTTTAAAAGCTCATTTGTGTTTAGCTCTAAGAAGCTTGTTTTGGCATCACATTTCCTTTCCATTTATGTTCTGCTTTGACCAATATCAAAATTAACATGCACTCTTTGGCTAGAATACAAGAATAAACAAACCCGTGGAAAGAGATTTACTCTCAGAACTAGACCGCAAGGAAAGTGTAGTGGTGAAAATCTGCCTAGTGGTCATTTATACATAACTGGGAGCCGACGGCATTTGCATTGGTATTTCAGGGATTAGGAAGAAAAAAAAAAAGACTACTTAAAAGACCGGGGCCATTCATCAGCAATAAAATAATAGCAATCTCACCTCTCGGCTCGGAGATGCAGGCCAATCACTTAACAGGCTGCTTCCCGATCCCTGCCCGCAGCCCCCCCGCAGCGGCTGCTCAGGCCCAGCGCGGGCGCGAAGCCGCCCCTCACGAGTTGACCAAGTTTTCCTCCCGGCCACGCGGCCCCGGCGCCCCTCCCCGCGCCACCTCCACGGAGTCGCTTTTCCCGACGTTCCTCTTGAGCCCTCTACAGCACAGTATGTCTTGACATCTTAATGACAATTCTCAAGCT